TGCGGGTGTAGAGCTGTACCACCAATGGTTAATACATCCGACTGACTCATTTGCGATTGCTATGCTACATAAAGTGAGGATTTTAACTCATCTATATGACGTTGGTAAGAATTACAATGGGTGTCCCATGCAGCATGATTTACATTAATTTGAACCAGAGAATCCCGTTCCATCACCTTTACACAATTTATACATTTTAATTCATCAACTGAAGCCTTACATTCTTTTACAGCATGTTTTTCTGCACACCTTGGACAATATATAGTACTACTGGGACAATTTTTTGAAAAATGATTAAAACCATTACATTTATAACACCTCTTAACAGATACACAATCATAAACAGAGCAGACATCAAAGCCAATAAATAGCTTACCTTCACCATTCGTCATGATATTATTATATGATGCAACATCAACCTGCAAAGTTGCTTGATACATTTTTCTATTCTTCTTAGTGCAAGATATATCTAAAACTTTACATTCAATAGAATTAGAACAAAATACAGATTTATTTTGATTTAAAACGTAATGTTCAATTTTTTCACTATCTAATTCAGCCGACATTCCTACAACTCTTATTTTTGGTTTTATTCCAACCACATCCTTGATTTCATATTTTTCCATTAGATTAGAACCAGCAAGATTTTTTAATGTGGAAACTCCAGATTCAGAAGAGCAACCAATAACTAATCCCCCATCTCTAATATTCTTAACACTGGAGATCTGAATATTGGAGCCTACCGGATCAATCGCATTTAAAATATCTGCTTTGGTGACAGAATTATTTTGAGAAGAATCTTTCGGCTTGATTATAATTGCAGAGCTACTTTTAAGTTTCATGGAGTACAAATTATTATTTCCGGTACTGGATACAGAGGTCGCAGTAGTATTAGAGCATACACTAGGATTCACGTTAATTTCAGTAATTTTTTGAACAGCAGCCATTGATATTTTCTCCTTCAGATCTTCTTGTAAGTCTTCTAATCTCTTTGAGACTAATTCTGTTAGGTTATTGGCAATATCTTCAGTGAGTTTTTTCGCCAATGATGAAATCTCTTTCATAACCTTTCCTACTCCTTCCTCAGCTAAGTTTTTGACATACTCAGGATTACATGATTTTAGGACTGCATAACAATCAACGCAATACCAACCAAGACCAGGAATCTTACCTAAATATTTTGTAACATCAACTGGTACATTACAGCAGGGCATATGAAATTGTCGTTTACAGACACCATAGCAGGAAAGGGTCGCCGGCGAAGTCCGAGTAAACTTTTCCTTGCATATTCCACATGCCATATCTCTTCTCGCACTTAAAGATTTTCTTATTGTACATTACCAATGAGTGATATATTTGTTATTAACGCCACTTAGAAGTAATCATAAATTAATAAACAATAAATTATCAGAGCACATTTACGCACGACTCGACTCGGCATTATAATAATTTACTTTTTAAGCCTATTTGCAGACCCAAATAGAGCGCCATTATAATCATTTAGTTTTCAAGGCCCATTTGCAGACTTAAATGAAGCGCAATTAGGTATAAACATTTAGTTTTCAAGGCCCATTTGCAGACCAAAATGTAGCGCCTTTATAATCATTTTGTTTCAGGCCCATTTGCAGACCTAAATGTATAATCATTTAGATTTAAGGTCCATTTGCAGACCAAAAAGTAGCGCCTTTATAATCATTTAGTTTCAAGGCACATTTGGAGACCCAAATGTAGCGCAAATTCAATAATTTAGTAGATAGAGCAAATACAATAAAGATGATACAACAATGCCCATGAGCAAACACAAGTATTTGTTCAATTATTCAATTATTTTATTAATATACAGTCCCAGATATCACATACAAAACATAAAAATGAAAACAATAATCCTCTAAACAATTTTTTAAGCAACATAAATTATACACAAAGTGTTACATACATAATTAAACAATCATTTTCAAATTAACAGTCAGACCTCCTTACAAAAACCTGTACTCGACAATAGAACTTCGCAAAAATCAATACAAGGATACATAAAAAGTTTATTTTTTATTTTTAACAAAGTAGCAAGTTACCTTAAAGGTACCATTTCGGTAGGCGCGACAGACGACCGCCGACGCGACGGACGACCTCCGACGCGACCGAGAAGTGTTTCTTCACGTCTAAAATACATACAATTATACGAAACACATTTCGCACGGCGCGACACGAAAGGTGTGGTCAAGACGACACTTCTGAATCTGTCTCGGGGTAAAGCGTTTGCTGCGTGTCGCACTCGAGGTCACTGGCCTCAGGCATCGCTTCTTTTTGGAGGTGATTAGGTTGGAAATTTCTTTCGATGTAGGCATTGTTGCCAGATTTTGGAACAGTATGGGTGAAAAAAAAACCGTAGATCTGAATAGTAGATTTTAATACAGGGGGAAATAATTAAAATTTGCAGTGTAGTAAATAAAAAACAAGTACATAAGGAACGAAAAATAAACTTTTTTCTACCCAAATTAGAAGGTAAACAAAGAATATTTTTAATATATACTTAACGTACGGAAACAAAAAAAAAAACAATGAAAAATAATAGGTACCTACTTCTTTTAGATCAGTCTAAATCAGGTAATTCAAAATCGTAGTGTTTGGCATATGCATGTTCTTTTTATGATGTCCTATTAATTCTTTGTTTCATTTTAAATAAAAACAATGATTATCTTGATGTTTTTTTTTATGGAGCCAACCTACAGTAGTGGATGCCTTATTACGCTGCTTTTACTGCAGAAAATTTACTAGAGAAAATATTCTTTAACCATTTGCTGAAGAGGCAAACTTAATAAATTAAGAACAAAATTTGCTACAGACAAAAACAGTGGATCTACGTAAAAACAGTAGGTCTGGCAACGCTGATAGTTCCCTCGAATGATTATCCTGCAAGTGTCTCGCGACCCGTCTCCAAGTTTCCGAAATGTACGGAGCGTAAGATTTATGCATCTGTCGTCCTTGGGGTCGCCTCGGTGGTCTCCTGTCTCCTGACGCGCCTACCGAAATGGTACCTTAATGCAATCAACATTGTAGCGATTTTACCGATATACAGGTTTCTATCGGTGTAGCCGCTCTACAAACAAACTAGAACCGACATTCGACCCTTAGCAAAATTATGAACTGTATTAATAATAAAGTTTGAAAATATCTGTGCGATCCATAGCCCAGGGAGATGTAGAATTTGGATTAAAAAGTTACCTTCTGATTGAACACTTATTTTAAACACTAATGGAACGATTTGATCTAACACTACATGGTGCACTCAAGACTAAATACTTTTTACATTATTTACAGTATTTCTCTAGGAAATTTGTTACTTAAGCCATGTTAATATATAAAAATTATGTTACATGATGCTGTCTTGTATTTGACGGTTTCTGATGCTCTAATTGTGCGCCGGTGCGCGGGAGAGATTGCCGCTAAACTCGCTTGAGAGTCAGGCTTGTGACGTTGACCAATAAGAAGTGCATTGCACCTGTGGCGCTAACCTATGAGAAGTGAACAAGAAGTAAATGATGCCTGTGACGTAGCTATTTGTTGGGAGACCTTCCTTATCGGCCAAGACAGAGACGTCTCCAGGAGTAGGAAATAATCGAGAATGAAAGCTTAGTGTATATTGGATGCAATATTGAGTGTAACGATGTATGTAATTTGTTGAATGTAATTTAACAAATATATAATTTCAATTAATTAATCATTCATATATACTACTGTTCAAGTAAATTATTTGCCTGCATGCAATATTTTTTACATACGAGGGTCAGATGAAAATTCCTGTCCACTCATTTTGCAATTATACATCATGAATCAGTAAAACAATCTAATAAGTCATAGGCATTTTTTAAACTCTTGCAAACTCAAACTTTGGTTTTAATTTTTTTTTAATTGTCTCAATTTAGACATACTCAATTTTAGTTACAAATCAACATGCACATAAATAATATTTTTCAAATTAAATTATACACTCATACATGTTTCAAATACTACATAATTTTTCTCCAAATGCCTACATAAGGTTATTTCCTACTTAATATTTTTTTTTTGTAAAAAATGAAGTTTAAGCAGAGGTACGTCAGGTCATGGAGACAGGGCTAGGAAACTGATCTGGGATGTTTTTGCAAGTAAAAAATATTTTTTTGCGATTAAATGAAAAGAGCGCATACAATTACATAAAAATCCAATGTTGGAGGCAATTATTAGGGCATAAACCCCTAATTAGTTCAAGTAGAACCTCAAGAAGCATGTCGTCAGTGTAAATAGCAAAATGTGTAACTCCACTTTTTTGTGAAATGTGGATTATAACTCCATTTAGTACCAAAATGGCAGATTTACCATCTGAGAAATGCTTATTTTATTATTTATCCAAATTATATTAATTCTCATAGAAGAGTTCTGCACTCCTTTGACCCTCTACTTCTTTAGACAATGAAATTCAGTAAAACAGAGCACGGCACTGAAATCCTACATGGGTAGATTTTTTCTGTCACTTTATTTGTGAAAGCCCTAATTACTGAGTTACAGGCCTTTGAAGGAAAATCTTAGTGAATAGTATTCACAATTAAATGGTCCGTATTCGAGAAATTTGACAAAAATTGTAAAATCAATTTTTTAAGGAAATTTTTCTATTAAAAAATGTTTACGATATCACTATAATTTTTATTCTATATATATGATTTCTCTAAAATGGACCATAATGGAAAAATTTGAAGAAACATAAATTTTATTTTTTCAGTATTTTCGTTGGAAATGCATATTTACTGGGGTGATACAATAGGTTGTACAAAATACCCGGAAGTAGCCTATAATAACCAGACAGGAAAGTCATGTGTTGGACACATCAGATTTTTAATAAACTGTTAGAAACTGATTCGAATTTTTAATAATTTATATTTTATTTATAATTTTAATTATAATTATGATTAGATTTATCAACTTGAACTTGAAAATGCATTTTTATTTTTTCATCAAATAAGAAACTCTTCCACTTAATCAGGAAAATTAATTGGTAATCTTCATCGTTTGCGTACTAAGCAAAAACAAAATATAAAGCAATGTAAGTAAATAGTTGGGTAACGTCTCAGAGTAGTCAGATATCGCAAAACATTTGATAAATAAAGTCTTGTTACAGTTCCATAAGCATCAGTTTGAAAAGTAACATTGTTCTTCGAGAAAGAAAAACGGATAAAAGTTTTTTAAAAGTTTCTTGTGTGATTATGCACGACCGTAAATTTGAGAAAAAAGAAAGTATCAGTATCATTGAAGATCAGAAATTAGAGGTTTGGGATATTCAGCCCTCTACTAGCGCTAAGAATTGTAGGAATTTCATAAGAGAAATTGTTGACAACTTGGACTTGCAGCCTAATCCAGAAAAGCCCGTAATTGCGTTGTCTATAGGTCAGTGAGTTTATAACATAAAATATTATCAATTACTTATTGATTTAATTTATATCATAATATTATATATAATTTTATCTCGAGGTTTTGGAGTCATTAGCCTTTCCAGTGTTAAACAGAAACATATTTTTTTAAACCTTTATTGTATATACCTACGTATTATTTTATTATGTCAGAAGTAGTAAGTAGTAGTAAAAATTAAAAACTTTTTTAAATGTACCTATACTTTCGGTGAACGGCCGCAAAATACGTTTTCGGCCTAAGTCTAAAACATTTACCCTAACATATATTCACGCTCTAACAAGGTTATTTTAAGTTTTTTTTGTCTCGTTTGAAAAGTAAAATAAATATTCTTGGGGTTTTGGCTTATAACAGAGACACAAAAGTCATCACTCGAATTACCAAGGCAGTAAATAAATATAATTGGTTCTGTTTATTGAATATGGTTATTTAAACACATTTGAATTTTTTCCAGTTAAGTCGAGAAATTAATATATGGCTAATTTCAGAGCATGCCATAACTTTTTTCAACACTAAATTATAAATTTTTCACTTCTTGATGCGCCATGTTCTCCTTTAGGGCCGTCAAGGTATGTGGCGTGTATATAGACATAATATGACCTATAAAATTATTCCACGTTCTTGAGGAGTATAGTCGTCCATATGGACAAGATCGTACGGGTCATGACGTTAGGCGCCTGGTATCTTAAATACGATGTTTTGTATGAAATTTTATCTGGAGTTAATTTTAAAAAATTAAAAAAGCAATCACCCCACCTCCTTCTCGAAATTGGTGGCAATTAAAATATTGAAACAATTGTTCAAAATCCAAAATTTCATTGTTTTCGCATTTATATCTGATGTGTGACTTCACTAAAATTAAATCCCAGTCAAATAAAAAAAACCTAATTGTGTGCTTTTTATCAAATATCTCAAATACAGTAAATTTTAGGGACAAAGTAAATAACAAAAATTATAGATAATGTCAACGCGAAAAACTTTTATCTTAAAAATTTTCTTCTCCTATCATAAATAACAGAAATATAGCAAAAAAGAGAAAAACAACCTTCTATATAGTTGCTTTGACTATGCTCAAAATCTAATCAGCTCTTCAGAGGCCACTGGAAACTATTTTTTAAATTCCATAATAATCGGCCGGTTAGTTTGGACTGTATCGTTTTAACAAAAAAACGTCACATACAAGCCAACATTTTTTTAAAGACATATTTCCAAAAATTACATATTTTTTTTATTATTAGTTGCACAAATGAGATTTTAACAGAATAATGATGTGGCTCCTTTTTTGTTTTGAGTAGTTTTTAAGTATTAAATGTTGTAACATATTATTTTGCAAACTTTGAATATTTCATTCGCTTGCGAATTGGAAAATACGTAATAATTGTTTTTCTAAACGAATATCGATCACATCCTTGTAGAGATGCAAAATTAATAAGATGACGTAAGATAAAAAACAATTTTCTACAAGCCAATTGAAAATCAAGAATTAAAATTGTTTTTTTTTTGGAATGCTTGATTGACATCACTATTTCATCAGTACATTAAAGATTTGAATTTTTATCCATTCATTCTGACGTTTTCAAATTTTTATGGAATAATTTGGCAAGTATTGCGAGCAAAACAATTCTAAGAATCTTTCACTGATAAAAATCGAAATATAAAAGGAGGTAATGTTATGTTATCATTTGCGTTACGTACATACCTAGTTTGTTAAACTAAAATTAATAAAAATATAGTTATTTGCGATCTAAAATCTAGATGGATCAGGACATATTAAAAAGAAATATATTCGGGATGGATATCAGGGGGGTAGCCAGAGGGGGAGATGGGGATAAGTTTCCCCAACGAAATTTTTAAGTATACTTTTTTTAATCGTTTGGATATGCAAAAAAGATAATATTCTTTTTCAAAAATAAAGCCAAGCAAAGTTTTGAAGTAATGCTCGATAAAAAACCTTAGGTACTATATTCAAAGTACACTATTATAATTTGTTAAGAAGGTAGTAGAAATAGTCATTTCTATCTCAGTTAAGATTAATTTAATAATTTAACTTACCGTAATACATCCATTAGGGACCAGCTTCATGTGTTTTTTAAAAACATGTCTGTCCACCAACTTCCTAAGTAATTCATACACTTACATATGATTACCCTCGCCTTTAATATTATAATTTGTATCACAAACAACATCAGGATATTAAAAAATGGTCCTGTGGAGCGTGCGGACATAATAGCTCTATCCGGGAATTTACCATCGCTGGGGTGGTAGAAGCCTACCAAATGGCTACTTCCAGAAATGGGGCATCTAGTGGCGCATTGGCGACGTTATTATCCTTCAGGACTTTAATGAGCTGAGAGGCTGACCAGTAGGCTTTTGACGAGGTGAGAGGCATGCCCTACTTGCACCGGAAGAATGAACAATGGGCCTAGTAAGATCTAAGCACAGACTGTGGAGCAACCCACCCTCTCTTTCCTTACAGATGCAGAGATAGGATATTAAAATTAATGAATTTGTCAAAGGCAAAGCCAGAAAAGTACAGTTTCTGATATTTTTTCATTTTTTCTATCGCTTTTATTTAAGGACAAATATCAAGAGAAATCTGAACATTATTTGCTTTTAATAATTTGGAATAAAAAAAAATATTCGATCACGTTTTTTGTAAGATTGCTTCTATGATTGAAGCTGTGAAAATAAGTGGCTGGCGATTCGTGGTTTCACAAATGTCAAGGTCACGATGACATGAGACCAAAGAGATTAATCTAAGCATAAGACGCAATCTTTCGATAGGGTGACGACTTTTGCGCTTGATAGCCAAAGTAGACATTGCGAATTGCGCAAATAAAATGTATGGGAATATATAACATTTTACGAATAAACTTAATTTTGTTTCACTTTTTAGAAAATTACATAGAAACTAACAATAATTAACTAAATTTAGTACAAAAAATTAGGTATTTATTAAGTGTTATCGGCTCGGTAGCTCAGTGCGTTGAGAACTCGTGTATTAAATTACTGACGGCGAGGAATGTGTTCAAATCTCAGAGCAAACCAATGTGAATTTTTTATTAACCTGCATGGTTCGTTAACAGAAATGTAATGTTGATGCGATGTCCAGACTAATCCCAGTGGGATAGTGGGTGTGGTTTTCCAGGTTTTCCTCGTACCTAACCCGGACAAGCTCTGCTTTTGGGGCCCAAATTTACTCGTAAGGGGTAAATAGGGAGAATATTATTATTAGGTATTATATTATTTGCTAATATCAACAGTAGAAATGTTTACAATTTTTACTAGATAATTAAGCGCGGTAAAATTATTATATTTATGCCTATATGTATATGTACCAATAATGACCTTTGCGCCTCATTTCAAAATAAAAACGTATGTTTTTTTACGCTTTTAAGATTATTTTATTTTTTTAAGAATTTTGTGGAATGTTATTTTCTATCTTTAACAATAACCTTTTAACCTTGTTATAAGTAATGCAATTTAAAAATAGGCACATATCAGTAGATACATAGACAGTACGTAGTTTATACATTGTGGAAAACTGGCTTTTGAAAAATTCAAAATTTTCTCACATTTAAGGAAAAATATATTTAGTAGGTATATCCTGATCCTGAAAAAATACACCCCTAAATGCGATCCAGATACAGGTGCGGATTTGGGACGATTTTTCGAAGAGGGGAGAATAGTACATTATGACACTAATCCATAATAGAGCCTTTAAAGCATGAGCAACGAGTTGAAGGCCACAACACGCACCGGAGTGGCCTTAACGTTGCGAATGCTTTAAAGGCGATTATGCATTGTGTCATACGATAATTTTTAGTATGAATGCGTAATTACAATAGTAATAGTAGTAATAATGCAATTTAATAATTTGCATGCATTTTATCGAATGGGTAGGTAAATTTTATTTGACATTTCATTTAATTAAGTATTAGAATACTTTTTCTGTTCATGTTACCTACTTGATTTAGATAAACTTGTAAATAATTTCATTAATTTGACAATTCAAAATAAAATCTGACATAATCTAATCTTATTTATTGCAACCTTTATACGCACGGCGTGCTATAAAGATCCGATTATGCACGCTTTTTGGTTTGTTTGGAATGGTTTATGATACATGAATATTAAAAAAAAATAATTCTACACCTACATGGATATTAGCTTATCTGCGCACAGATTACAAAACGAAAAAGTATGCTATTGCCTTCAACTGGACGAATATATTTCATACCCATTCTAGTTACCCTTGCAAAAAAATTAAATCCACCAATCACCGTTCATATTTTGATCAACCGACTGCTATTATTTTTAAAATTTTAAATAAGTAACAATTCTGTCAAACTAATTGTCAATATATTAAGATTAAACATACATTAAAATGGGTCATTCTTGTGTAGAATCCATAAATACCTAATAGCATTTCTGTTTTTATTTCGTCTATAAATATAAATAATTTGTTAATTTAAATAAAACTGTATGAAGTCAATTTAATTACGGGTATTAAAGCAATAAAAATAAAAGGATAGGTGGTTCTGTGGTTAGCGTTCTTGCCTTCCACACTGAAGACTGGAATTCGATTCTCGGATGGGGAGAAAATTAAAGAAACTTTTTTCTTTTTTTTTTCGTTTATTTTATTTTAAAAATGATTAAAAGTCATAAATTATTTTAAAATTAGTTATTTTGTCTAAAATCTAATCTAAAATATTTTTTTATTTGCAAATTTTCGTTAGTGGGCCGTAGAAAAAATATTCTGTACAACTCGAGTGGATTGTCCACATCGCACTCAGACGATTGCTCAAATTTCGTCTTCGTGCGATATGGCCATCATATCCAACAGTGGCGTAGCCACGGGGGTTTTTGGGGGTCAGAACCCCCCATGGAGGGCCTTCGCGTCACCATTTCCGCTATAGTATTGGCGCTGATCGCTATTGACTGTTTGTTTTTATTCACTTTCTTTATGGAACACCCCA